TTTATAGAGTGGATTATCTGAATGGACTGGTGTATTATGGGTAGAGAGATAAGTAGATAGAAGAAAAGAAAAATGCTGAGATTGTTCATATTGACTTTAAGGTGGAGAAATACCCTAGGATGGTCAATCAGAGAAGACAAAATGTATGCTTATAGTACGTCTCTTATTTACTTATTTGGAACTCTCTATTAGAGTTTAGACAGGCATTACTGACCCATGTCCTCACCAGTAGGCAGTGGAGTAGTTAAAAGTACAGGTTATAGAAACAAACTGTTCAAAATCTGGCTTCACCAAAGCTATATTCACCATAAAGTCAATGACATGGACCTCAAGACCCTTCACAGCCTCTTCCAATGTCCTATATTTGTATTTCGTATTTGTAAGTCTGTATTCTATTTCTGAAAGAGGTTCCTAATATTATAAAACAAAAATATCAGATTCCACAAAACTGGGATCCAAAATTGGCTCCACCCATTACTGACTATGCGACCTGAGCTCAACATATTTATCTACTATGTTCCTCCATTTCCCCATTCTTTTTTATATTTCTTTATTGATTAAGGTATTACATATGTGTCATATGTGTCCTTATCCCCCCATTACTCTCCTACCCCCCCACCATTCATGGCCTCACCCCCATGTTGTCTGTGTCCATTGGTTAGGCTTATATGCATGCATATAAGACCTTTTATTGATCTCTTCACCTTACCCCCATCCTCTCCTACCTTCCCTCTAAGGTTTGACTGTCTGATCGATATTTCTCTGTCTCTGGATCTGTTTTTGTTCATCAGTTTATGTTGTTTATTATATTCCATAAATGAGTGAGATCATGTGATATTTATCTTTCTCTTATTGGCTTATTTCACTTAGTATATGGCTCTCTAGTTCCATCCATGACAAAACTGACAACCTACTTCATTTGGGTTGTTTTGAAGATTCTGTTCATACATGTAAAATCTTTAGCACAGTGTTATTCACATATATGTAATCAATGTGTGTTGGCTTGTATAACTTACTTTTTTTTGTTATCATTCTTTGTATTCCTTTCTCATGAGCCCTGTCATGTCTAGAATCACCTTTATCTTTGTAAATTTAGCCTAGCATGTTTCTCCTGTATTTTTAATTCATTCCTCTTGCATCTTTTCCATGAGCCTCCAGGGTTGTTTACAATCTCATTTTATCAACCTCTATTTGATTTCATAAACCTAGTAATCTTTTTTTTAATCCTTATCCAAGGACATGCTTAGAGAAAGGAAGAAAGAGGTGTGATGAAGGAAGGAGAGAGGGAAAGAGAGAGAGAAGGAAAGAAAGAGAGAAGGAGAGAGGGAGAGAGAGAGAAAAAGTGAGAGAGAGAGAGAAATCTATCAGTTGCTTCCATACGTTTCCCAACTGGGGATCAAACTCACAACTCAGGTATGTGCTCTGAACAGGAATCAAACCAGCAACTTTTAGGTGCATGGAATGATACACAACCAACTGAGCCCTTATTTACTCATTTGGGACTCTCTCTATTAAAGAGAGAGTCCCAAATGAGTAAATATGTCTGCTCAAACATAATAATCTCCTTCCTTACTTAAAGGACATCGCAATTTTTGTTTTCTTTGTTTCTGGGTGCCATCTGCTAAATTGGTTTTCTAAATAATAACATGGGAAAGAAGATACCATTATCCTCAAACTTTTGTCATAAATAACATTCTGAAAGCATTCCTACATACCATCTACAGCTACTTCAATCCTATCTTACCTCTGAAATATTGACCTTTTCAGATACATTCAGCCCCACATGAATATTGACACCTTTGTGTGAACTGCAAAACAGATTTGGGACATGTGGATTTTTGCCTGGTGGATTTGCCTAGTTCCTGACATGGGGTTAAACCCAGCAAAAAATGTATAATAATACATGTGACTTCAAGGTTTGGCTGATACTGTTCATCTCCATATAGATATTCTATGCAGTTTGTGTAGTAAAGATGTTGCAGTGATTTATTGTTGTTTTTTTAGCCCTCAAACCATACCGCTTTCTAGCATAATATCCATTGTTGTTTAAATCAGAATTATTTAACCAATGTCTGAAAATATTTAAATAAGGTCAATATACTCAAGAGTTCTAAATACAAATATACATGATGGAGCAAAAAATAAAAGAGTATGGTCTTTCATACTGGCCCTTAAGACGTTCTTATCATATTCCATTATTCCATGGCTATTATTTTCCATTACATCCTTGACCAATGCATGATCAGCACTTAAATAATAATTTCTTTTTAAAAAAAATATATTTTATTGATTTTTCACAGAGAGTAAAAGAGACGGATAGAGAGTTAGAAATGTCGATGAGAGAGAATCATTGACCAGTTGCCTCTTGCACACCCCCTACTGGGGATGTGCCCGCAACCAAGGTACATGCCCTTGACCGGAATTGAACCCGGGACCTTTCAGTTCGCAGGCCGATGCTCTATCCACTGAGCCAAACTGGTGCCAGCTTAAATAATAATTTCTAAACTAAAATAGATTCATATATCATCATATAGTATCTCTCAAAATTATATTCAATAGTCCATAATTGGTCTTCTATCCCAGGACTTCACTATCTATTGAAGTGTCACTGAAATATTCTGAGACTCAGCACAACATGTCCAAGTGGTGTCTGGTATCCAGTCCCCATTTGACCTTCCCATCAGCCCATCTGAAACACCTGCCATATCATAGGTTTAGAACCTGAATTCACTCCAGGGTTTCAAATATTCTTTTCAACCAATATAAACTCCAACTTTTCAACATTTATTGTCCCTCACCAAACACCAGCTGTATAAGGTTTCTCAAAACAGAAACTAAACCAACAGGAATTGACTCACATAATAGTAGAGACTGGAAAGTTTAAAATCTGAAGGCATTCTGGCAGCAGAATTTCTTCTTCCCCCCAATCCTTTCTCTTAAGGGTTCCAACTGATTGGATGAGACCTGCCAACATTATGGAAGGTAATCAGCTTTACTCAAAGTCTATTGATTTAAAAATACCTTTAGAATGACATCTACACTGGTGTTTTACAAAAAAATAGGTACCATTATCTATTCAGGTTGACACATAAAATTATCCACCACACTAGCCATGACCTGCATAGTACCTGAGATTTGTTATGTACATTGAAGGTTCTGATTATTGCAGTTCACACTGGCCTATGGAAGAAGAGCCTCTTTACCTTCAATATATTCTCTCAACCTACTACTATCTGCTCCTATAGGAGCACTACTTCTTTGGGAATATGCTGGAAGTATGTCCTCAAGAATGGGGCTATGCCTGCAAAAGGAGTTCAAGTCCAGCAAAGAGCCCTTCCTGGATTTTCCCAGGTGAATGCTTCTGAAATTCTTTCACCTTACTTCTTCATTAATCTCAGCTAGCATGTCCCTCTGATGGAAATTATTCAACTAAGTAAGAAAAAGAGCAGGTATAAAGAAAATTACAATGTGGGAGAATGTTTAAAAAGGAGGGCCATCGTGACCAGGGCGAGGTAAAATGAAAGCATCGTTCTTGAGTACATGGAATAGAAACAAAGGAGAAAGGAAATGATCACAAAAATTGCTGGTTATAAATGAGGAATGATATGAATTTTGTCAAGTTCAAAGGAATAAGGAGAGAAGTGCAAGAGTAGAATAAGCAGTGGAGCAATTTAGAAAGAAGCATACCTCTAAATTTTAATTTTGAATTGTGCCTATGGCAATATACATATGTAACTTCCACATCTACACCAGAGAGGATCTTCCCAGTCTGCCATCTGCCATGCAAAGAACAGGAAAAAATTTTAACAATGTCACACATCAAAGGTTAAGGAATAGATTTAATTGATTAAAGAAAAATATCACAATACCTGTGTCAGAAAGATTGAATCACCTCCTCTCCTCCATTCCAGGGAAAGAAATTCCAGGGTCAGAGAAATCTTCTGGACACAGTTTGGATTCTATTACAAAGGAGGGAAACCTCAATCTGAGTCCTGCTATGTGCCTGGTGCTGTGAGACAAGTACTAAAAAAGTGGTCATGTCACTCTAACCAATTTGGCTCAGTGGATAAATCATTGGCCTGTGGACTGAAGGGTCCCAGGTTCGATTCTGATCAAGGGCATGTATCTTGATTGCAGGCACATCCCCAGTAGGGGGTGTGTAGGAGGCAGCTGATCAATGTTTCAAACTCTATCTCTCTTCCTTTCTCTCTGTAAAAAAAAACAACAACAATATAATATATATGTATATTTAAAAAGTGGTCATGTCAGTAGTTAAATAAGCAAACTATTGAGTGTTGGGAAATCTAATTTGGGGATGCCAACCATTTACAGAAACTGTCTCATGTCATGGTATTGCCCTGTACTGGGGACTTTGGCTAATTGGGGATCTTGGCATCTGAAGGACATTGCCATTATCGGTGAAATAAAAATGGGTTTAATCACAAAAATATTTGTTTCACCCAGTGCTATGGCCTCAGTTCTCCATCATCCAAAGAAGCTCATCTCTAGTTTCCCTGCATGGTTGGTCGTGACCCTTAGGGAAGCCTTGGTCACCCTTGCTCCCTAACACTTTTATTTTAGCATATCTTCTTGAATTAGTATAAGGGAATCAAGCAAATGTGTCCTAAAGCTGTGATCTGAAATCTGCTTCCACAGCTGAGTTCTTTTGCCTCCAGAGACTAAGGAAGGAAAGACTGAAGCTAAGGCTACATACTGCTGGATAGACAGGTGTATAATGATGAGGGATAAGAAACCATTTCTTCAAGCTAGAAAAGATCTGTGTATCTTTTGAGGTCCTGGACATTCTGAGAAACTCTGATACTGAGAAAATGAAGAAGGATCATCTAACTTTTCTCCCAGACTCCAATGCTGTAGTGAATGTTGACTTTTTCCATAGAAAAACAAACTAGTTCAACAAGGAAAGATCATGAGTGAAAAGGGTAATGGGGTGACTAGTCACATGAGTCTGCATGGCAGCTCTCCCATTCCCTTAATCTGCTTATAAGGAGTGTGCTGGGCACCTGAACCCTACTTCTCCGGAGCATCAGACTCTGTCTCTTCCAGCATGTACTCTCTCCAGCTCCTGCTCAGGGCCAGCCATGCTGCCCTGCTCCTGGTTCTCTGTCTGCAGCTGGGGATCAACAAAGCTCAGGAAGACAAGTGAGCCAAGCCTTTCTCCTTAAAAAAAAAAAATCTTTTTTGGGGGGAGGGCTTTTTTCTTATCCTAGAAATCTACATATCCCTTCCTGAAAACTTTTTCAACTTCCCAGAGATCTAATCCTAGAAGCTCTCATGAACGCATACCAATCCCACCTCTCTCTTCTTAGGAACTCCATCAATTCCCCTCACATTTCCCCTGGGTGCTTCTAAGTTGCCCATGGAAATAAGGCTCCCAGTGCACTTGTAGGCTATAATTAATAATCAGTCTTTCTCTACAGTTCTGGCTTACATGTTGTCCATAGTCTATATCTTTATTAGATTTCTGCTCAGTGAACTTCACCTTCTCACACTTTACCTCCTAGAAGAGAGGGTTTAGCAGGACTGTGAGTTGCAACCATAGGTTTGGACACCTTTGGCAGAACTCACTGAATGATCAGAAGCCCTGGACACTGATCCTTGGCCCCACAGTCCAAAGTTGAGCTTGCCCAGCACTTTAGACATTCTTCCTGTGCTGAAGCCTGAAGACAAATGTGAGGACAACTTGCCCATGACTCCCCACTTCACCCCCCGCCCTCCGTCTCCCACTAGGACCTGAGAGCATGGGTTCAGAAGCCAACTCATTAAAGGCACATGTTTGAAGGAAAATTGGAACACACAAAATGAATTAGGAAATAGGACAATTTGGAGGGAGAAGCATGGACGCTTATAAGATCTAGGGATTTTTCCTTACAGGAAAAGTGTTTGGAATGTAGTTTCTGGATTGTGATTCTGGTTGTACCCTCTGTGAAAGGACCAGATGCTTCCCTGGAAGAAACCTGTCAGCGTTTTGACAACCTGATGTAATGGAGGTGGATGGGTATCTAAGAAACCCTAAGTGGGGATGGGTTCAGATATAGATGTCACTCCACTTAGCCCTGAGGGGCAGCAGTTGTTGATAAGCTGTGCTACTTATGGTGATCAACCATCCAAGTTTGCCCATGAATAGCTTGATTTTAGCACTGAAAGCCCCACCCAGCAAACCCCTCGCTGTCAGGCAAACCAGGGTGATTAGTTTCTCTAGCTGTGCTGGTCATCCTGTCAATCTTAAATACATTTACAAATGGGAGAAATTCTGAAGAAACTGAAGGACGTGTACCCCTTCCCTGTGTAGTGAGCGCTAGAGCAGCTGGCACAAGAAATGGAATCTCTCTGGAATCTGATGCTTTCCCCTAGGAAAATGGGGCTGGGAAGTACTGGAGGCCAAGAAACTGAATTCCCTCCTGTCTCACCCAACACTGAAGGTGCTTTGGCAAGAGTTTCCAGGAAAGAGAAAGTAACTCTGCTGGTCCTGAGCCCCCTCCTCACTGACTGAAGGGAAACACTTGACTATTCTCTTTGTCTCCATGTCCTTTTCCCCAGATGATTGTGGTGTGTGGCCTGAATGTAAGGTGGAAGCTGTAGTTTCCAATATGGCATTGTGTCCAAATCCCCTACAGAACTAAGTACTAAGTACAAATCCTAGACCCCACCAAGAACCAAAGAAGGAGGATCTTCAAGAAAGGCCTCACTGCCAGTGCACTGAGGTGTTTATGATTCATTAATATGAAATTTAATACTAATTTTATTATTACATGAGCCCTCCCTGTCAGTGGATAATCAGCGGAACCTATAGAGTTTTATTAGGAAATGTGATACTGTACTTTCATTGTTTTTGTTTTTGTTTGTTATTTGTCAGTGGAAGAGAAGATACTCAGTTTTAAATAACATGTCAAAATTGCTTTATTAAGTAAAACTAAATCAGTACAAATAGCCAAACTAACCAAAAAATCAAAACTCCTCAGGGAATTCTGGTCTCAGCAGCTGACCATCTCCTTCCCCTCGAACCTTCCCTGGTCCCTGCTCTCTCATGGGTTGATTTTTGCTCCCTACCTGCTTTTGTCTTCCCAAAACCAGTCGACAGGTGATCAAAATGGATTTTAAATTGCCTCAGACAACAAGAGCAAATGAAGAAGTCACTGCAACGCTTAGAGTTGGAACAGAATTGAGAGAATGTATGGTGGTAAGTAGAAGCCCTGGGGTGGGAAGTTGAATTAAATCCAACTTCTTAATTAATTAAAATGCAATAGATGACATAGGAAAATTACCAGATTAAAGGGCAGTGATAAAATTATTAAAAATAAATGTATAATACAGTAATACATGTTTCGTTATTTATACATTAGCTGCAAACATTCACAACAGAATAGTTAAATTTTAGTTTATAAAGATTACCTATATGATGATTATGGTTGCTTAGCCTATTTCTGGGTTTGAAAGCCAATACCAGACCTTATTGCCAGAACCGTGACCAAGTTCCAATTCCTAGAGCCTTTGCTATTAAGTACCTTCAATCTTTGACAACAAATCACACATATCCAGTGGGTCCTAATTTTTTTGTTTTAATTATTCAAGTATTGAAAGTTCTGAATCATGAAGATATAGTGTTATAAATGTAATAAAAATATAAACAAGGCAAGGTTAGCCTTCTCAAAAGAAACACCAGGATATCCAAAGTATTTTTGAGTAAAATTGCAATGGTGAGAACACTTGAACTCATTGTTTGGGGCTGATGGGCTATTTGTGCAGAGTTACCACTTACCTGGGCAGGTATTGGGAGATAGGCAACCAGTCCCAGCCATACCCATGCAGCCTGGTGATGACTCCTGCTCCTATGTTCAGGGTAGCTATAAGGGCAGGCACTCTTCTGAGATATATAAATCTCTAATGTAGCATGAACAAATCTGTTTCTCCTTGTGATAAAAATCACTCACTACTAATGCCACTGTGGGTACTTGGTGACATTCACAGCAGAAGGAATGCTCAATTTCGATGGGAACTTAGGAAAATAAACATATAATTTCTTTCCACAAACTGACTAAATTCTATTCATAGACTCCTTGGATCTATGGTCCTCAGGTTCAACCCCCTGTGCTGACCATGAACCAGAACATTAACCTGACTCTGCTGAAACACCTATATAGTGCTTTGGGTTCTTAAGCTGTACAGCAAGCATGTCAAACTCGAAGGCTAACATGGGCCAAATAAATAAGGTATGTGGCCCATGGGCTGTGAGTTTGACATGTTTGCTGTACAGCAGGCTCAAGTTAGGAAAGAGAAGAGTAAGTTTACCTTCAAGATTGCATTTGCTTATCTAACAGCATGTTGGGTGGGTAGTTGCTGTCCTCTCACAACTGAGGAAAGTGGTGTGTGGCCTGAATGTAAAGTGGAAGCTGTAGCCAGTAAGATCAGGCCACAGGCAGCATTCTCAAGACACTAAACCAGTTTGCTTTAATGGGTATCACTGCCATATTGTTAGGGCAGATATTAAATTCACAAATGATGTCAACCACTGCCTATAAGGCCAAAGTACTTATTGCTTAGCCTGATCAAGTACCATATTAGCTTAAGTACCTTAAGTCACCCAAGGGATTCTTTACTTACTAAAGATCCCAGAGTTTGAGAGGAGCACAGCTGGGACTTGGTCATGGTTCTGGCAATAAGGCCTGGTTTTAGCTTTCACACCCCAGCAGTCAGCCTGCCGCCACAGGCCCATTCCTGGAGCCCTTACTATGAACCAAGGCAAACCTAACCCTCTGCCCCACATGAACTGCTGCCCAGATGAGTGCTCCTGACTCTGTGGTTCACTTACCTCCACCTTCCCGAACCCTACACCCACATGCTAATGCAGGAATAGAAGGATATGAGGACAGAAAATCTTCTAACCTTGATTTCAGCTCCTGAGATGATACTACAAAAATGGACTCTCCCATGCCTTTCCCCACATCCACCCCTGCTCTTTGCCCAATAAGAACATCCTGCTCTCTCCCTCGATCCTCACTTGTCTTTCTCCCCCTTTCTTATTCCCCATACCAACTCTGAGTCATCTCTCTCCAACTCTTCCTTCACAGATTAAAACTTACCTAGTAAGCAACCCTCCAGTTGATGGGCCTTTAAATTACAAATATACTGCCTGCCTGTGTGAGGAATATCAAAGAACCTTCTTCTGGGACTTTCAGGTCAACAGTAAGTACAGGAGTCATCCAAGGGAAGAACTACCCACCTGAGAGGAAAAACCATAGAGAAATGTGGTTATGGATCAGGAACAGAGCCCGCGGCAGAAGGATGGAGGGGATGGGGTGGGGCGAAGGAGAACAACAAGCAGAGTAGAAGGAGACCATGGCCAAGTTCAAAAGGTGAGGAGTTGTGTGAGAAAAGCTAATAAGGGAGATTCATTTGGAAACAATTTGAGGAAGCTGAGTCCCAGTTAGGGAGGTGTCTGATACTGGTAGAAAAGATAGGATCCTGGGGATGAGAATGTTAAGCTATGATCTTTGTCCCTGTCCCTTTCAGGTACTATAAGAATTGCAGCAGTGGTTGACATCATTCGTGAATTTAACATCTGCCCTGACAACATGGCAGTGATACCCATCAAAGCAAACCGCTTTAGTGTCTTGAAAATGCTGCCTGTGGCCTGATCTTACTGAAAGCCTTATCTCACTACCCCCCTACCACACCCCAAAGTGGTTTCCTCTAAGGAACATGGCCAGGTGTGTGTTGAGGTCTGTAAAATAAACTTCCCTCAGCTTCTCTGTGTTCTGCTGTGTCTTCCTGCCCAAATCTCTCCCTGAGGAGCTTCAGAGTGCCCAGGATTTCTATAACTTCTTTCCTTCAAAGAGCCTTTGCTGAGGCAATCTTGTAGGTTGTCACTGCCCATGAAGAGGGAGAGAAGGCAGATGGAGAAGAGAGAGGCCATTCTCAGAGTGGGAAAGCATGGTCTAAAACTCATAGTAAGTGAGGGGCAGAAACTGGACCAGCGTCCAAGTTTCCCTGCTCCTTCACCTTCTATGTCCTGCTGTCTATCTAGGAGCCCCTTCAATCATAGGAGATGGGAGTCAGCTGCATACTAGGATAGCAGTCAGTGGCAGAGTCTATATTCTATTCTTTTCAACTGGTGAAAAAAGATGGATTAAGTGGTGCTAAGGGAGATTGGGCAGCACAGGATGCACAGTAAGCCGAAGAGCAGAGGGGGCCCTGTGGGGCCCCACCAAAGAAGGGCAGACAGTGCTTCCTGAGAGGAAATGTGAGCCAGGGTCATGGGCACAGAGTGAGCAGAGAGCTTTCTGGCAAATAGATTAGTAGGCACCAAAACCCCAACGCATGTTCTAGGCAGGTCAGCTCTTTGATGTTGGGTGGGATTAAGAGCAAGCCAGGCAGCCCAGAGAGGAGGCTGACAAGGGGACAGCACATCAGTGTGTAAGGCAAGAAGGTGGGGCATATCCTCAACATCATTGATCTTAAATGGGAATCAGATCTAGAGCAGAAAAACAGTCACTGGGAAAGTTCACTTGATATTTTAAATAGAATAGTAACATTGATTATATGCCTAACATGTGACAAAAATGCACTGATATTCTTGTTATTATCATATGTCCATTAAAAATAACTATATATCTATATCTATATCTATATCTATATCTATATCTATATCTATATCTATATATATATATATATATATATATATATATATATACACACACACACACACACACACACACACACACACAAACATTGGAATATTATTTAGCCATGAGAAGGAAGGAAATCCTTCTATTTCTAACATAGGTAAAACTTGAGGGTGTTATGCTAAATGAACTAAGTCAGACAGAGAAAGGCAAATACTGGAGGATATCAATTATAAATGAAATCTACAAAAACTGAACTCATAAAAAGAGTATAATCGTTACTGAGCTGGGTTGCAGGGGAACTGGGAAAATTTTGGTCAGAAGGTATAAACTTCCAGTTATGCACAGGTTATAGAGGTTAAAGTTGATAAAAGATCTTAAATGTTCTCACCACAAAAAATAAATGGTAATTATGTGAAGTGATGAAGGTGTTAGCTAACCCTATGGTGATAAGCATTTTGGAACATATAAGTGTATCAAATCAACACATTATATACACTTTAACATTACAAAATGTTTTATGTCAATTATACCACAATAAAGCTGGTGAAAAGATTGACCAAAGAAAATACTATATGCATAGCCAATAGACACAGACAATAGTGCGGTGATGGCCAGAGTGAGGGGATGAAGCTGATCTGAGGTGGGTAAAGGGGGAGAAATGAGGGACATCTGTAATAGTGTTAACAGTGAATGAATGAATGAATGAATGAATGAATAATAAATAAATAAATAAACAAACACAATTATTAAAACCACATGCATTAAGTATGTATTCATTTATTCATTCAATAAAAATCTATCAAGTGCCTACTGGGCCATTACCTGCTTTAGGTATTTGGTTTTACCAAAGGGAATCAGGAATTTCCCATCCTTATTCTATATAATAAAAGGCTAATATGCACATAGACTGAACAGCAGAATGATCAGTCACTATGATGCTCACTGACCACCAGGGGGCAGAAACTAATACAGGAACTACCCCCTGGTGGTCAGTGTGTTCCCATAGGGGAGTGCAGCTCAGCCAGAAGCTGGGCTCACGGCTGGCTGCCAAGAGCAGCGGCAGTGGCAGGAGCTTCTCCCTCCCACTTCCACCACAGTGCTAAGGATGTCCATCTGCCTGCAGGCCTAAGCTGTCAGTCAGACATCCCCTGAGGGCTCCCAGACTGCGAGAGGGTGCGGCCAGGCTGAGGGACCGCCCCATGTGCATAAATTTTGTGCCCAAGCCTCTAGTAAAGTTTATATTCTTCATGGGCATAGACAATAAATGAGTTAATTCTATTTTTAATTTATGAGAAAAATGAGATGAGAGGAGATAAGTAATTTGCACGTAGCCAGAGAATGGCAGAGCTAAAGTTTGAACTACACAGGCAGCCTGACACACAGGAAGGCCCTTGTTCCTACATTACACACACTACACTACACACACATTACACAGTACAGACATGGCACTATAGTATGCACTACACATACACTACACACACACATGCACACACACTGCATTACTGCACACACTACACCATATACTAAACTACATACACACTACACTACACAGACATTGCACTATACTATACCCCACACACAATACACTATACACACACTGCACTATACACACACTACATATTATACTACATACACACTGCACTACACAAACATTGCATTATACTACACAGTACATACAGACTACACTACACTATACACACTGCACTGCACTACATATACACTACACTACACATTACACACACTACACAGACACTACATTCTATATACACTACACGTGTATACATATATGTGCATGCACGTACACCACACGGTGCACAGTATATACAACACACACACTACACTACATACACGCTACACAGATAGCACACTGCATACACACTACACTACATACTATACACTACATTATATGCACACCACACAGACATTGGACTACACACAACACACACTATACAACACACACTTTACATTACATGCAAATACATGACACAGATGCTACACATTGTACTACACACATTACATACACATACATTACATTACATACACTACACACAATCCACTACACCAAACAATGCTAAAACATACCTCCCCCCAATCTCCAACAAAAAGCATTTCAAAATTGCCAGTTTTAACTTGTGCATTAATTTTGAGCACACCATTTTCTCCTACTATTTTCTTGTCCTCCAATGAAACTAGAATTCTTTTGTTGTTGTTGTCAATCCTCGCCCGAGGATTTTTTCAAGGAAAGGGAGAGACAAAGAGAAACATTAATTTGAGAAAGACACATCAATTGGTTGCCTCCCACGTGTGCCCCAAGCCTGTAACTGGTATGTGCCTGTGACAGGAATTGAAGCTAGGACCCTTCAGTCCAAGTGCTGATGCTCTATCCATTGAGCAAAACCAGCTAGAGTGTGGCTAGAATTCTTAATTGCTTATAGCACTGGCCAATAAAAATAGAAAAATATATTTTAAGTTACATGTGTAATATTGAATTTTCTGGTAGCCACATTTTTTAAAAAGCTAAAAGAAACAGGTGAAATTAATTTGCCAATATATTTTATTTAGTCCAATATACCATAATGTCAAGATGTCCAATTTATTTCACTTGGCATAATACTCTCTTGGTCCATTCATGCTGTTTCAATGGTAAGATTTCTATGTATAATGACAAATGGTTAAGAGGTTTATAATGGTGAGTGCTTCATAAAGTAAATACATTTTGAAACACTAGGTTGTACATCTGAAACTAATACAATATTTTATGTCAACGAGCGCTGGCTAGATGGCTCAGTTGGTTGGAGTGTCGTCCCATTTATCAAAAAGATTGCTAGTTTAATCCCTAGTCAGGGCATATACAGGAGACAACAAATGAATATTTCTCTCATATCGATGTTTCTCTCACTCTCTCTCTCTCTCTCTCTCCCTCTCTTTCTAAAAATCAATATAGCCGAAACTGGTTTGGCTCAGTGGATAGAGCGTCGGCCTGCAAACTGAAAGGTCCCAGGTTCGATTCCGGTTAAGGGCATGTACCTTGGTTGCGGGTACATCCCCGGTGGGGGGTGTGCAAGAGGCAGCTGATCGATGATTCTCTCTCATCGATGTTTCTAACTCTCTATCCCTCTCTCTTCCCCTCTGTGAAAAATCAATAAAATATATATTTAAAAAAATCAATATAAATATATCCTCAGATAATGACTAAATAAATAAATTAAATAAATATGGAAAAAAGATAAAAATTTGTACATAAAAATAATGGTCAATTTTTTAAAAATATCTATACACACACACAGGCCTTAACTGGAGTAGTCACACACACAGGAGGCCTCAATAAGGTTCATTCACAACCCCAGTTCAGGTGGTCTTATCACCACATTACTATCTCAACTCTGTGTCCTTGGGCAGCTTCTAAAACAAGAAAAGCTTCTAAAACAGAGTATTATTCTGAGCACGAGGAAGGAACAGAAGAACCTCCTATTGCCCAGGTGCAGCTCATGGGTCAGACTGGCACTCACATCTTCTTTATGACTTTCCCCAACACCTTCATACCTCACTCTACCCCTAATTAAAATTCCAGATGAATGTTGATTTTTCTCACAGAAATACAAACAGGGTAGTAATGAGGAGTATCCCAAGATATGATGATTTTGGCTGAGTGGACCTATTGATCTTGCTACACTAATAAAGACCGATCCTGGCCCATGGATACACAGTCCTCCTGGTGTCAAGATCTTCCAGCATGTGTGCTCTTCAGCTCCTATTCAAAGATGACCCTGCTATCCTACTTCTGGTTCTCTGCCTGAGACTGGGTCCAGCACAACTCAAAAAGCAAAGTAAGTCACCTCTCTGTTACCTACAGAAAATGTTCCAGGAAAGATACTTATCCTAATCCAAAAATCCACATTCTGTGTTTCCTGCCCTAAAATTACCCACCCTGGGAGTACTCACTAGATGTGTCTCTTGGTCTCTTTCCCTATTTAGAACCCGTTGTGGAAATTATTGAATCCATGACCTACTGCTTCTTTGGGTTTTTACTCAGTTTCTATTCTGAGTTTATCACTTTCATCTTTTTCTCCTAAAAAGAGAAGCATAGGCAGGGACATGGGTTTGGTCAATAACTGTGG